TCTCTGGAATGATGTAAAAACGAGCGTTCTTGCTCATTTTTCTTCCGAGAAACATGCAAAACGGAACGGAAAACATGAAATTTTGCAATAATCTTGCGCCACCCTTGCACAAAACGACGATCATTTTTCTAAGTTCATAAATAACAGAAGACTGTATTTTTTCTACATAACCCCCTCCCCCCTGACTTTAAAGCTGGATCCGCCCCTGGTTTTCTATGCAACAAAGAAACTCGCAATGAGCAGTTCTAATAACAGCGAATTAAAAATCTATGTTTTATGGTGAAAAACCACCCAATTTTCCAAAATTAATATGGAAACTTTAACTTACCACAGTTCTCATCTGCACTAACCACTCCTCTTCCCAGAACAAGCAGCGAGAGATAAGTCAAGACACTTTTTTTCGGTAACTGGGCCATTTTTGCGACACTTTCCCCAGCAAAATCCGTCCTGTTCTGCGAAGCTTTTTCATTGATAAACGTTTTTATAAATTTCAAATTGATCTGTTTTTAATAACGCTGTGCTAAATCTAGGAAATTCCTGCCGACGTTGATTATCCGGGCCGGATAAAACCACCGGTTGTATTTCTAAGGATTATCGGTAAGATTAAGCTAAATGAATTAAAGCAGTGGAACTTGCTACCAATGAAGTAATTATTTGATATAAAGGTTTAATGGGGGATTTTAGTAGCAATTATCTTAATCCGCAGATAAGCAGATTCGAATGGGTTTTGTGTGTTTGCCTCCACTTATTTGGTGATTCTGTTTTCCCATTTTATCCAGAAGCAACCAAACGCTGGATGTTTAATCGTTTTTCAGCAAAATGCGATTTCACTCCATAAATGCAAACGTTAACTATTATCAATTTTATTCAACTTCAAAATATCCGCGCTTGAAGCTTGAATAACTTCCGCGTTAACCATAAAGTAAGTAAAATTTTAATTCCTTGAGCGCGACATTTCAAATTTTTGGCGGGAAACGATGCTGGCGTTTGATTAGATGCAGCGTTGCCAATATGCGAAATCTAGAGCTAAGCTTGCACGGAAATAAAGATTCTCTATCAGCGAGTACGCAGAAAACAAAATCTTCTGTTGGAAAATCTAGAAGACTTTCATAAGTCCAGAATGGCTTTTATAGCCTGAAATGCCCACTATTTTACAGAAATAGCAGGAAAACAACAGGAAAATTAATCAGAACCCTAAGGAAAATTCAGCGTTTCTGATTGGCTAATTCGAGCCTGTCTTTTGACAACTAGGCACTTAACCTCACAGCTGGTTTGTTTTGATTGAAAAATTAATGTTCAATGTTTTACGTTTAAAGTTACGTTTGCCCGAGGAAAAATGCACTCATTGCAGTTTTTGTTGAAAGATGTGCGGCAGGGGATAACAGAAAACCACTTGCAACTGAAGGCCATAATTCAGGTATCGAGTGCACTTTTCGTTTCTTGCTCTATATTTAACTAGCATTGAAACTATTTTAGTAATTTAAAATGCAGAAATTCTTATGCAATTACATTAAATGGACACACACTTGGTCATATTGACCATACTGAACAAATGCCGCCTTGTATTTTAGGACATTGGTGCATGTAATGGGTCCCTGTCTGAGCTGCAGAATCTAAACAGTGCAGGCCGCTCTAAAATAGCCGTCCTCAGGAAATTGATCAACGAATTCGGAGACACTGTGAAGGAACATAAAGACTCTGTCCTCCTGAAGGAGGTAATCTTGGAAAGAGATCAACTAGCCAGGTAAAACTGATTATCAGAACTTGATAGTTATCCTAACTTGTTGGCTTGCAGCTCAATGGACGCATTTAAAAAAGCCAACCTAAAGTCCATGTTGGCGATAGAGAAAAGCTCAAAGGAGGAACTGATGAAAAACAGCAAGGAAAACGAACTGAGGCAGCGCCACAAAAGGGGTAAGGAAAGCATGGTTAAAATGAGTTCGAAGGTAACAGATCAGTTGCTGAATATCAGTAAGCAACTAGCCAGCACTACCCAACAGGTAAGCAGGAATTTAAGGCGCTCTAATCACTACCAAAAGAATGGTTGCTCTGATTGTAGAGTGCAAATACTTTGGAAACTCTGGCAACATCATCTCACACGGTGTTTGGAACTCATGAGGAATTAAAAATGACATCTGGTGTGATTGGCCAGTCTGGAAAGCTTCTGGATAAATATGGGCGCCGTGAACTAACAGACAAATTCCTCATGTTTTTTGCGTTTGCCTTTTTTCTATCGTGTGTCGTTTATATTGTTCAAAAGCGGCTTTTTTGAATCCATCGTTGTTCAACGACAATTTAATCGAACACTCCTTTAGGAAAACTGCTGTGATGTTGCATTGATGACAATTTTAAAGGAACAGGCAAGAGATTCAAAGGTAAGGGGGAACTAAATTCAAACAAAGTCATTGATTATGTATGCAATAATTTAAAAATATATTAGCTAGAATGTATGGAACAGCTCATGTTTAACAGTAAACCGAGCTCGAAGGTCTTATTTGCCCCCTTGAGAAAAATTGACTGAATATCCGCCGGTATTTGGGTCCTGAGTGAGCTTGAAGTTGTCCGTTGATAGTCCAAATGGTCTTAAAACAATATTACCCAGATCCTTTAGTTTGCCTAAAAAAACAATTTTCCAGTGCAAATCCTAGTGGACCTAGTGAAAGTGAGGTAATACCTAGCATTTCTTCTTTGAGTTTTTCGTTTTTCTCATTGATAATTGGAGGTAGCCGTACTTTCGCCTCGTTTGCGTCTCTGTTCCCAGGATCCAGCTCAATTATTTTGTTATAATCCGCTAGACTTTCCTCTAATTTGTCTGCTTCTTCATAGAGCTTCGCTCTTCTCAGGTACGCTTTTAGGTAGGCATTGTTTAAGTCTATGGCTTTGGTACAATCCTCAATGGCACTGAGTTTTCGGTCCAATTTGGCTAAAAAAGTCGAGTTTTAAGGTGCTTTTGACATGAATATTTAGTCAACCTTTTGCTGCCGCCCGGTTGGCATACAAAACCGATCTATCCGAGTGGAGCTCCAAGGGACAAATCCTCAGCCCACTAGTGTACAGAACAATCGATTCCACATATCGTTCTTGCTTGAACTCTTCATTTCCTTCGGCTTTGAAGTTCAGCGCTTTCTTGTGCTGTTCAACCTTTTCTTCATCACTTAAAGTTAATTCTAGTTCCTTCAATTTGTCTTCATCAACATAGTCGTCGGGCAATGAGGCTGCTGCAGCTTCAACATCAGATGACTCGAAATCTTCTGGAATGCAATTGGTTTCAGGCTTTTGCTCCGCATCCAGCGGATTTGTGCAGTCTTTGTTGATTTCAAGGGTGTTTTCTAGGTCTTTGGTAATTTCGTCGACTATTTCTTCGCTTGCCGGAATGCCAACTGAGGGTTTTGATGCCATTTTTGCGGGCTAATCGTTTTGAAGCATTCCCCAAAAAAATATACTAACTCGTTTAGTAAAATTATCTTTCAAGAAAATAAGGGTTAACCTAATTCAAACGTCAAATCAGTGACGGTTAAGTCCAGCAGTCTTCTTTCATGTTGGCAACTTTGTGGGCGCGCCAAGAGGGGCACGCCCGAATAATTAATTCCTCTTTTAATATTGAGTAGGACACAAAATTGCGAATATAAAAAAATGTTCATTTATTGTCAGTTGCAAGTCATTCACATATAATACGCTTCTTCCAAGCCTTTGAATATGGGGATTCAGTCCATTTGGCCATTTCAATCACATCAAGTCTATACTAGAGTTGCGCTTTTTTGGTGAACCAGATCGCCACTTTCTTTTATAACATCGGCACACATTTTCATGTTGTCCAAAATTCCCGCCAAAGTCCAGTGTTTTATTAGAAGTGCATCTTTCAGTGTAAATCTGCAAGATAAATATTGAATAGATTTATATACTCTTTATGGTGTTTAGCGAGAATACCAACCTGCTGTGCCTTATGCATTGAATGTCCGTGCAATGAGCGACAGAACGCAACTTTAGGCCTATTTCATTGATAATGTGCGTCATGTAGTCCTCGTACTCATTGACGCATTGGATTTCTAAAGATAATTAAATGTAAATATTGGCGGGCATTAAATACAACTACATACCTAAAGTGAAGTGGGGGCCTTCGAACTCCACACATTTTATGCCGTAAATGATGGGAATTTTCGCGTTTGCCGGTCGAATTAATCCTTGCTTAGCTAGATCATAGGCTGCTTGTGACTCCATATCTACCCCACACAGCCTGAAAGTACAGTTTAAAGTGGAACAGCTCAACAGCCGCTAGAAGATGGAACGTACTCAAACATTTTTCTTTGGTGTGACGCTTGCATTGCACTTAGGAACCCATCCACGTTATGCCTACGCACATGCTTCCATGTGGATTTCATCATTACTTTTCCTGTTCTAAAACAGTTATCAGTCATTAGGCCAAGCACACCTTTCACTCTATAGGCACGTGTGGGCAGGTTTTCCCTGATGAATTTTGCCTCCCTTGTTCCAGATTTGATTCCAAATACTGTAAAGATCAAGTTGTTACACACGTGCGGTTTGTAAGATATAGTTTTAAAGCAGAAGCAAATGAATGGAGTTCTGATTATATTTACATAGGACTCCACTTGTATAGTAGCCCAGATGGTTCGACCAACTGACTGCCAAGTCTCGCTCTTGATATCGAGGCCCCACAACCAGTGGATGATCTGCAAAGTTGGGCCGTACTGAAACAGTCAGCTTTTCTGTGGGTTTGCCTTCTATTGCCACATACCCAGCGGGGGGCCGCACTTCCAGCTCATTCATCTCTACATGTGCAAGGAATCGGTAAATATGCAGTTATAGAGTCACTTATCGGGTTACCTTTGCTTATTTTCGATATAAGAATGTTCCTCAATTTACGCACCGACATTTCCGCAGGTTTATAAACACAAATCAGCCCGTTTAAGGCACCCCATATCGGGGGAGCTTTCGGCAGTAACATGTCACAGAGGGTTCATTTGAAAATGTGAGGAGAATAGTTTGTGTATATTAACTGTAAGGTTAGAACCTTTTGTCACTCGTTGGAGGGCTTAGGTCAAAAGGGCGCAGGATGACGCCTAGTACAATCGGCAACACGCGCATGGGGGCCATAATTTAAATTAGTTAATTTGAATTAATTTCTTTAAATTTTAGAATTATGTGATTGCATTTGGTTTTACTTACATACAAGGATTTTTGTGAAAATTATTTGATTGGATCGTACATTTTCAGTAAAAGTTCAATGAAAACTGGGATTTCTTCTGTTGCTGTTTGCTGTTGTCATTTATCAATGTCAGTTTACTATTGTGAGTTAAATGTTTATAATTTTCATGCTAAATAATTTGTCTATATAATTCAATAACAAAGTAATTGTTAGGTGGAACTATTCATTTTTTACTGTGTGGAAATGTTCAGAAGTTATCAGTTGCAAATCAAGTGAACAGCTTTTGGTGAAATTACGTAGTAACAGTGTGAACATTCTATCCAAGAAACCCCAATTTTTCCCATTTCGAGTGGTTGTAAAGTGATGATGCACAATTTTGAAAATGGATATGTGGAACTTGCTTAGGAACTTCGGCGGCAACTTTGGATCTTTAACGAAATGCACTTGGTTGGGTGGTTTGCTCGCTCAAGCCCAAGAGGGTTACAAAGTAAGTGCGGAAACGCAACCTTTGTTCTGCGGAGTTTTGCACTTTGATCCCCTGTTTTTAAAAATCAGCTATTTCAATAAAACCGCTCAGGTGTAGTAGATATAGATTTGTCTTCTGTCTGACTAGTAGTAATGAAGCTAATGTGGTGTCTTTCTCAATAAGTTGCAAATAATTGTCAGCAACCTGGATAAGATAAAACTAGAGGCAGTGTCCCAACGTAATTGCATTGATTCTCTGTCTGGCTTTCTCTATGAAACAAAACATTCAAAGTTCCTGCAGAGACAGATATGTTTGTTAAGACGACTTTTATCAATTGCTCATCGGACTAACTTCGGGCGGTTATCAGCAAACATTTTACTGGTATTAAAGGAAAATGACCCCAAGTTTATCATTCACCAGATAAATAATTCATTATTACGAATTTTGATCAGTATGTTCTGTTTAATGCAGGTAAATTGTTAATTTGCAAGTGCTTGTTAGTTGTATCTGCTAACTATTGGCTTAGTATCGATAAGAAACCCTGCAAGTGTGTGCGATTTTGCTACATGTATAAATCATTCTGCTTTTCCTTTACAGATATTTTATTTGGTGGTCGTGGCGATCTTCATAGCGGTCACCACAACAATAATTTGCGTTAGAAGATGTCACCAGAAAGGCAAGTGTTTTTCTCACAGTTTCCTTAATTCCTGCATGGTTTCAACTGACAACAATTTTCCATTAAACCACTGTGTTTTCCTTCTAAGCTTAACAGTTTATAAATGATTTCCAGTGTTTTCCTCCAAAGTGGCTCTTAGTCAAGAAGGGGCTCGATTTCGAAAACGAGATAAAGCGCTGTTTTATGGCAGAAAAATGATGAGGAAAGTGAAAAACATTTCGGGACAAGTGAGAAACTCCGGCCAAGGCAGAAAAAGGAAAATGGTAATGAAATTTGCTAGACGGTTGTTGGCGATGAAAAAAGAGGATCAGGAGCAACTTAAGGTAGGATAGATCTAACTAGTTTGCATAGACTAGTGACTAATCGAGAAAATCATAAAAAACGACTAATCTAAGTAAATTTAAGAAATACAGGCAAGAACACCAGCACGAATAATGACCAATTTATATTAATGTTTGCTTCATTATCTCATAACACTCCGGTGCATTTAGACCCTATTGTAGTAGTTTGAATGATCATGCAAACGTAGCCGTAACTCAATCAGGTTTACAAACTATTATCGGGTTATTTGTTGTTTTGCGTCTTTAGGATGAGATTTTTTAAACATTAGTGAATGTTCGTAATTAATTTGCGGTTTGATTGTAATATGAGAAGGTTTTTGACCCTGRAGGTACCATGACTGTTTATTTGCGTCGCACTTGCACCTAGTTGGTTTATTGATACGTTTTGCTGCTTTGAAGGTTCTCGAACCTCCTGTGGAATACCTGCAAGAAGAAAGGCTCGGAGATGATCGCATGCCACCCGATGTTCTTTACATGTTACAAAGCATTCGAGTGTTTGGTCATTTCGAAAAGCCCGTGTTTCTCAAGCTATGTAAACATACTGAAATTATCAACGTATCGGCAGGCACTTTCCTTTTTAAGATCGGTAAGTTTCTATCTATCTGCTTTTTATTGTCAAGTTGTAATGTTGTGCTATTAGGTGACCCAGATGAGAACTTTTACATTCTGCAAAGTGGAAAATTGAACGTTTTTATCAGCGGCAACGAAGGAACGACGTCGCTGAAAATCGTCAAGCCTGGTGAAAGCGTCACGTCTTTGCTCAGCTTTACAGATGTCTTAACGGTACATAAAAAAAAAAATTTAAGTCCAAGTTTCGATGGTTTTCCGTTCCAGGGCCATCCGAATCCATATAAAACTATTTCTGCTAAGGCGGTTGAAGATTCCACTGTCGTTATGCTCCCCATGACGGCTTTTCAAGATGTCTTCAAAGAAAATGCAGATATCTTCATCAGAGTCATGCAAGTGATCATGGTAAGACTGCAGAGGGTCACTTTCACTGCTCTTCATCAGTACTTGGGCTTAAGCGCTGAACTGGTCAGACAGGTCAGTAGATTATCAACAGTTAAGACTTTTTAAGCTCACAAGATTATGCATTTAAATTCTACCACTTGGTCTTGGTAGTTCGTTTACTCATGCTCTGTTTTTCTCACTGCTAAAGATTTTCATGGCCAAGGTAAGTAGGTACATTGTAGACACATACTTTTTTCAGTGGCTAGATTCTTCAATAATAATACCTTAAACTGTGTTTTTCATAGAGTTCCAAACAGAAAAACGCGACGTTCGCATCTCCGTTAAAACGCAAAAAAGACGAAATGAATTCTTCGTTTGCCAAAGAGACGGCACTTCCATACGTCCCCAAAGAAGCCCAATTGGGTAAACACTTAGTTATTTAAAACCTTTAGCGTCTGAGTAATTCAGTTTGTCTGTTTAGCGTATGTGGATCCAAATGGGACGACTCCCAACAATCACTGTCATAGACGTTCTCGATCCAGCTTTGACTCCAAAGCGATTTCCCCATGTTACAATAATACTCCAGATATGCTGGCGGATGTGGAAGCGAACAAACTGGAGGTAGTGTTGAAGGCATTTTTATATGCTCTTGTATCAAAGTTTCAACAATTTAGAGTGACACGACTAAAAAACGACCCTCTTTGCCGGATGATGCCACTGAAGAAGATTTAATTCGACTGGCACAAGAAGTGTTTATTAGCGAGTTAGGGCTAGTCGGAGATGAGGCTGTTGACTTGAACCTGGAAATTCGCGAAGTGTCTGGCGGCACGTACTTAATGAAGGAAGATTCTCATAAGGTACAGTGTGTGTTTGTGGTGCAGTTCGGTATAATTCGGAATTTTAGGACGTTGCCTTGGTCTATGTGCTATCGGGAGCGCTGGTTGTCTCCCAAAAGATGACTGATAGCCAGGAAGAGATTCATATGTATACTTCATATCCAGGGGAAATAGTCGGCGGACTTGCAGTTCTAACGGGAGAACCGAGTTTTTTCACAATCAGGGCCAAACATCTCACGAGAATTGCTCTATTGTCAAAGAGCACCTTTTATAGGTAACAGTCCATAAAAAACCAATGCCAGCGGGTTCCTAATGGTTTTAATCTTTCAGTATTATGAAGGAGAAACCCAAAGTTGTTCTTTATGTTGCCAACATGGTGGTGAAACGGCTATCGCCGTTTGTGCGCCAGGTCGATTTTGCGCTAGACTGGCTGTTTCTAGAGTCAGGTAATTGGCCACATTTTTACTGGAGTTTGTGTGGAAATTTATCTGCTTTTTCAGGCAGAGCGGTGTATAGACAGGACGATGACAGTGATTCCACTTACATAGTTTTGTCTGGGCGCTTACGGTCTGTTATTACTGATAAGAACGGCAAAAAAGAGCTGGTAGGCGAGTATGGCAAAGGCGATTTGATTGGTGTGGTAAGTACTGTTTCCTTTCACTCACTTAGCTCAGTTGCAACCAGCTAAAATATTCATTTTTAGGTCGAGATGGTGACCCAAACTAAGCGCAGCACAACAGTAATAGCTGTTCGAGACTCTGAACTAGCCAAATTGCCAGAAGGGTTATTTAATGTAATTAAGCTTAGGTTTCCAATTGTAGTTACAAGACTGATTAACTTACTGGGGCACAGGATTCTAGGTAATATACCAAGTCTGATAGTTGTTGCCAGCTTACAGCACTACCAGGTACTTGTAGGGTCTTGGAAAAAGCCTGCCATCACAGCCCACAGCCGCAGCACCGCCTTAGAAAGCAGGCCTTCACAAATCAACTTCTCCACCGTTGCGATTGTGGCTGCATCCGATGATGTGCCCTTAACAGCCTTCACTTACGAAGTGTATCACTGTTTGACGGCTATTGGTAAGCAACATCGCGAACTGGAGGATTCGTCTGTTTTGAATCTGTTGATGGTTTCAGGGCCGACACTGCGATTGACTTCAGATGTGATCAAGAAGACATTGGGGGCCACAATTATGGACCCCAATAACGAGTACAGGTTGTCTTCGTGGCTGGCACAGCAAGAAGACCAGCACAAAATCTCGCTTTATCAGTGCGACTTAACAGTTTCCGCTTGGACTCAAAGGTGCTTCAGGCAAGCGGATTGTATATTAATTGTCGGGCTCGGGGACAATCATCCTTCGCTAGGTAAGGCGGAAAACTACGATTTAGTTGCATGCGGTGGTGTTAAATATTGGGCTTTTTCTTTCAAGGCAAAGTGGAGAAAGAATTGGAACGATTGGCGATTCGAACGCAAAAGGAACTAGTCTTGCTGCACAAAGAGGGAGGCAAGCCGAAGAACACTATTGGTTGGCTTAATATTCGATCTTGGGTGTCTTCGCACCACCACATTGTCTGTCCAAATAGAGTTTTTGCCCGCAAAAGCCAATATAGAATTGTAAGTGAATAGAAATTCATCTAGAAGCGAGTGGTGTAAAGAACCGGGCTTGTTGCTCATTTCCAGAATGAGTTGTATTCGAAAGTGTGCGCAACAGATCCAAACATTCACTCGGATTTCTCCAGATTAGCCAGATGGTTGACTGGCAAGTCAGTGGGTTTGGTTTTGGGCGGCGGCGGAGCGCGAGGGTTGTCGCATATCGGCATGATCAAAGCCATTCAGGTAAACGCGCGCACACGCTTTTGTCATGGACTTACATGGATTTGTTGCAGGAAGCCGGCATCCCTATTGATATGGTTGGCGGTGTGTCCATCGGGGCCTTCATGGGCGCTTTATGGTGTCAGGAGCGAAATATGACGACTGTCACGCAAAAGGCACGTGAATGGTCTATGGTAAGTACAAATTAAGCCCGTGTCCCATGCATCCGTTTATACGATGGTACGAAAGTATCGTATACAAGGGCGGATCCATCCAATATCCCCCCCATTCAATTCTCTATCCAACAATGTCAAAACGAATTCTCTGGCTGCAGTCCTGGTTGCAGTATCGGCTTTCCATTGGGAAGAAAACAGCATTTGCTACCTCATAAAACGAAAGAAAGCCATCTTCATCGGTCCATTGGCCGCCGCAAGTGGTCTTATCTACTGCAGCCCCGATACCATGTTCTTCATTGTCAAGCAAATTGAAGCAACGTGCGTAGGTGGGAACGCCTAAGATGAGCTTGCCGCTGGGAAGCCCATTTTCCAGCCACACAGACACTTTGCTCTTCTGCAAAACACGAATTACAACCCTGCAAAAAC